CCAAGAAGACTGTTAACTAGAAGTACAATGACCAAGAGCAAAAGAAGAGACAAAGGCACAATGAATATTGTCGAAAACTCTGCTACAAAGGAGCAAAACCCTATGCCAATCTCAGAGTTAACTGAGGAACACATCGAGAAAATGGGGCATACAGAATTCATAAAACTCATTTTAAAGCTTCTGATAAAAAATGAGAAACACACACAAGAGTTCAAAGAGTTTAAGGAACCAATAAAGCAAATCAAGGCTGGTATATCAGAAATTAAGAACACAGTAGAGCAAAGTAAAAGTACAATGCAGAGTCTCCAAAACAGAATGAAGCAAGCAGAAGAAAGAATCTCAGAATTGGAAGATATTTCCTGTCACCAGGGGAAAGCAAACAAAAAGCTGGAAGCAGAGCTGGATCAGGCCAAAAAAAGTATTCAAGAATTGAAAGACACTATTAAGAGGCCAAATATAAGAGTTATGGGAGTCCCAGAAGGTGCAAAAAGAGAGGCTAGGTTTTAAAATGTATTTAATGAAATAATCAAGAAAATTTTCCCTAATCTGAAGAAAGAATTGGGAAACGAGTCCAGGAGGGACACAGAACTCCCAACAGGCTTGATCAAAAGCGATCTTCACCAAGATACATGGTCATCAAGTTCTCTTCAATTGAACATAAGGAAAAAATCCTTAAATGTGCACATGAAAAAAAATAATAAGTTGACATATAGAATAATGCCAATCAGACTCGCAGGAGATCTCTCACAGGAAACTCTACAGGCAAGAAGAGAATGGAGTGACATATTCCAGATTCTGAAAGAAAAAAAATTGTCAGCCTAGGATAACATATCCAGCAAAGCTTTCTTTTGTCTTTGAAAATGAAATAAAATTCTTCCACAGTAAAGAAAAGTTAAAAGAATGCCTCTTCCAAATGCCCTACAATTGATACTTAAAGATGTTCTCTTGACAGAGAAGAGGAATAGCACCTACCAAAACCATAGGCAAATGTGAAGAACATCCCAGTAAAATGACAACAGAAGACTAAACCAATGAACAACCCATTCCTAAAATGAGAGGACCAAAGTACCATCCATACATGTTAAACTCTGAATTTAAATGGCTTAAGCTCAATCAAACGTCATAGAATAGTAGAGTGGATTAAAAAATGAAACAACATCTATTTATTGTCTAGAAGAGACACACTTCACCAACAAAAATCAGTAGAAACTGTATTGCATGGGTTTTGTTGTTTTCTGTTAGTTTCATCTCTTCAAAACACCTTCTTCTGAAAAAATCATTCAGTGACTCATAGATCATACAGCAGCATCATTTTCTTCAAGAGTGTTCTTGATTTTCATCTCTTCAGCTACACGTTAGGCATTTTGGAGCATGTTATCTTACTTCTTTGTGTTGTTAATTTCTTTTTTCTCCCTGATGTTGATTTTGTTTTGTGGCTTTTCATTTAAGGGGATGTATAGTAGCTTTGTAATGGAGACTGTCATATCTATTAACATGTCATTTAACTTCATGGCATTTGTAAATTTCTATTTTTCTTTCTATTGTTGATTTTGTATTATGACTTTTCATTTAAGGGGATGTGCAGTAGCTGTAAAATGGAGACTAACATCCAAATGTGAGGATACAATGTAGTATGTATTTCTACTTCCAGACAAAGATGGACTTGCAATGAAACTGTTCACTATATCTTGATAATAGGATGCTGGACTCTCTGCCATTGTCCATGCCCGCAATGATGGACATATGACTGTGTATGAAAAACTTATTTTAGTAATGATATAAAGGAACTAGATGTGGCGGGGGAGGGAATTGGGGAGGGGATAAGGGAAATACCAGGAGCCTATGGAACTGTATCATAAAGTGATAATAATAAAATGTTTTTAAAAATAAAAATTAAATAAAAATTAAAATTGCAAAAAATAAAAAAAGAAAGAAATTCAGCAACCTGTGAACATGCTGCGAAGGCAGCAGAGAGGATGGCCACCACCCTAATGTCAGAGACTTGGATGCATTTCCCAGCTCCTGGTTTCTGTCCAACCCAACCTTCCACTTTGCTATTTGTGGAGTGAACCAGCAGATATTAGATGTGTGTGTGTGTGTGTGTGTGTGTGTGTGTGTGTGTCCTATGTAATTCTACTTTTCAAATAAATATTTAAATCTCCAAAGAGGAAACCCCCAGGACATGGGGAGGGAAAGTACAAATAAATTGGAGCTGCCCTTTAGCTCAGTGGTTAAGATCTATCTTAGGATACTACATCCCAAATCAGACACCCCCCCTCCCCCTTTGAGCTCCATCCAGGTCAAGTTCTGACTCCTAATCTTCTGGGAGGCAGAATTGTCCGCTCAAGTTATGGGACCACTACCACCCACACTAGGGAGATCGGAGCCGGGGGACTTCCTGGTACAGTGGCTATTTTTCGGGACCGCAGCGGGGTCATCTCTGTGTCTCTGGCTGGTTTCAGACACGATGACCTCCCGGGTTGTTTAATCACACGGAAACACCTCTGGCGCTTTATTTGAAACCTTTGCGTAGTCAGAACATCCAACTCCTCAAGAACTCCTGCCCTGCACAGCTCCTCTTCCATTATGTAGTTTCCCAACAAAGGCCTTTCTCCCCCATCTCCCAGCCGCTTTCCCCTCCTCACCCATCCCAAGCTGTTGGCTGAATAAACCCCAGGGTGGGCCAGACGCGGGCGGAGGCTGCAGAAGGGCCGGCCGGGCCCCTACCCCTCCTCCCCTGCGAGTTCCGGGACCGTCGGCTGCACGCGTTTTCGTATCAAATGGAAATCAACGTTCCTAACCGAAGCTAGGGACCGCGGGTGGGGAGCGAAGGCGACGTGTTTACACTTGTTTTCTCGCCCCCCAAGCAGCTGCGGCTCCCGATTGGCCCCGCGGCGCGCCCCGCCCGGCCGGCCCGCCCCTCGCCGACCATCTGCTGCGCGCCCGGCCGCCCCCGCTCCGCGGCCCCTCTCCCTCCGCCGCCCCCAGCCAGGCCGGCTCCGCCCCGGCCCCCTCCCGCCGCCGCAGCTCCGATCTTCCCCGGCCGTTGCCCGGGAGACGAGCCGATACCAGTCAAATAGGCATTCGGGAGAGAAAAAGGGGGGAAAAGCTCCGCGACAGCCTGCTAACAAAGAAGCAATAAAAGCAGCCCCCGAACGGACGGCTCGGGACGCGTCTGGGAGAAATTCCCAGTTTCAAACTGGAGAGGGATGCACAGGAAGGGGCCTGATTCACGTTGGGCGTGGGTGGGTGGGTGGTGGACCGGGGGCATTCAATAACTTCAAGTGACCGATTAGGAATCTTCTGGATGGTGGTGCAGGAACAGCCTCCGATGGGTTTTTTCCAAGCTTGGACCTCCGCTAATGCAAGGGATCGGCGCCAGTCCTGGCGACTAGGATCTTGGGCCGAGCCAACCGGCTCCTCTGAGGGTGGGAATGTGTTTGCTGGGGGAGAGGCGCTTCTTCGTCCTCTCTGGGGAATATAACTTCATGACTGCAGCGCGCCTCTCAAGGAACTGGACGGGGAGAAGACCTTCACGCTCCGAGGGGCAGTTTGGCGATGTGCAAAACGACTGAGTTCCTGGCCCGAGACAACTGTTTTTGCCACTCCCAGTTGACCCATTTCCCTACAATGAGCAGAGGAAGAAAATCAATAAATGAAAACTGAGAATTGAGGGCCAGGACCAGGAGCAATGAGTCGTTCCCTCTCTTGCTTCTCACTTCCAAAAGGAGGAAGATTATGCCTTGCAGAATCACCAAATGTAAACGAGAAACGGTGGTCTGATGTTGTCACGAGCTAGAGAGTGGGTGGGAGAGGACTGCTTATTGGTCTGGACGCTTAATTCCCTCCCCGCCACATAGCTTAAATCAATGCCTTGTGTCTCACACAAAGAGCGGCTGGTACCTCGGTGGCCTGGGTGCAGTGGCAGATGGAGGTGTGTCGAGTGCCATTGTAGGCGCTTTCCTTGTAACCCAAGTTAGACTTGGAGCGCCCAGGCGGCTTCCTCCCAGCCCTGGGAGAATCGCGTGTGCGTGGGATTTCACGGGGCAGCACACCCGCGCACGTTCAGAAACGGAACCTGTCAGATTCTGGTAGGAGGCTGCCAACCACCCAAATGGATGCGAATTAGCCTTTCAGCTGTAAAATATGGATTCGTACGCTCCTGGCTGTCTCATCTCACCCTAGAGGAAAACTCACAGTGTCACTTCAGACTGCGATAAAAATGGGACCCGTTTCGATCTTCTGTAAATAGCCCTCACTTGGTATTGGGGGGAGGGGAGGACCAGCAGTGACCGGGAGTAGCCGGAGAGGAGGAATCTGATGCGCGCCAAAGGTCACTCTCAAAATATTGTATTTCATGCCAGTGTGGGCGAAGGAAGGGCGTGTGGCTTTCGGCTGCTTTGCCGCTAGTGCGTTTTCCACATCTGGCCTACAGACCTAATTCCAGCTCGCGAGCTTGGCTGGATGAAATTCGATCTTGGCCGTCCAAATCTCTTTCGATTTGGGACAATTCAACAATTCAAACAGAAAAGAAAAAGACACACAAATCTTGTGCGCTGTCTGTGAGCCCCATATGGCGCATACAGAAAGAAAACACACCGCGAACACGCAGACTCGTCCCCACTATTGTCTTGAACGCTGGCGTTCTCTCTCTCTCTCTCTCTCTCTCTCTCTCTCTCTCTCTCTCTCTCTGTCTCGGGAGAGGTGGAGGAGGGGAGTGAGCAGAGAGACGGACGCGGATACAGACCGACCCGAGTCATCGCGAGTCAAGTTAACGCTTTCTCCGCCCCCCGTGCACAGCCAACCCCCCCTCCCGCGTTAATTAATTCCAAACAAAGCAAGCCAATCAAGGAACGCATTATCATTTTCCAGCAGAGGGAGGCGAGAGACATGTATTTTTAATTGATTTATTTATTTGGAGGACATTAATGCTCGGTTTGAGGCTGATTTTCAAACCGCTCGCCAAGCGCGGCTCCATTGTTCGCCGTGCGCCCAGGCGCCGCCCCCTGCTTTGTGTGCGGCGCGCGGATTGGCCGGCGCGCGCGGGGGCCGCGTCAGCGCCCGCGAGCCCATTCATCTGTGCACTTGGGCGTTGGACCCCGCATCTTATTAGCAACCAGGGAGATTTCTCCATTTTCCTCTTGTCTACAGTGCGGCTACAAATCTGGGATTTTTTTATTACTTTTTTTTTTTTAGAAACTACACTTGAGCTCCTTTTTTGTGCTCGACTTTTCCACCTTTTTCCCTCCCTCCTGCGCTGCTGCTTTTTTGATCTCAGAGACTAAATTTTTTTTTAATCCGGAGTGCATTTAATCGGTTCTCTTCCGTCCTCTTCACCGCCCCCACCCCCTCCCTCCGGTGTGAGTGTGCCGCCGCCGCTGCTAGCGCCGCCGCCGTCGCCGCCGCTGCTGCTCGCCCCGTCGCTTCACCAACCCAAGGCTCTTTGTTTCCCTCTCGGATCTGTTGAGTTTCTTTGTTGAAGAAGCCAGCATGGGTGCCCAGTTCTCCAAGACCGCTGCGAAGGGAGAAGCCGCCGGGGAGAGGCCCGGGGAAGCGGCAGTAGCCTCGTCGCCTTCGAAAGCCAATGGGCAGGTAAATTCTGCTTGTGGTTCTGGTCATTCCATGGGTGTCCTGCGCCGGTCGCGACGGTTCTCTTTCCCTCCTGGTCGCGCACGACGCGCGGTCGGAGGAGCTCGAACGTGGCCGGATTCCAGTGGCAAAGTTGCATTTTCAAGCTAGCCTAAATGGTCTTGTTTTTCTTAGGCAGGGTCTCTACCCTCCACCCCCACCCCACCCCCTAAGGAGTGGATCTCGAGAACCCTGGCTGATTCTTGAGTAGATCGGAGCAAAGGAGTGACATATCGGCTAAAATGGCGTGGTTTGGAGATGGGCAGAACGTGACTAGCTGGGTGTCCCCCCTGGCTCCAGCCAGGTTCATCTGTGTTTTGGGGGACACGGTGGTGTGGCTCTTGTGTTTGTTGTCCAGCCTTGGTCGCCTTCGAGATTTGCAAGCTGGTGTGTGTGTGTGTGTGTGTGTGTGTGTGTGAGAGAGAGAGAGAGAGAGAGAGAGAGAGAGAATATGTGTGTGAGAGAGAGTGTGTAGAGGAGGGGCTCGCAGTGGGGATGGCGACGAATAAAGGCGAATAGAGAACGGTTGTAGGGCTGTCTTAATGTATTCCGAGGCGGCGTGCCTGGGTTCTTGGAAAGGTAGCTTGGCTGGAGCTGGACAGAGGGTTTCGGTATTTTTCGATGGGGTTTTCCCACCCTCCCAAATGCTATTCGCAACTGAGGAATCAGCGCGCGCGCGCGCACACACACACTCTAAATAGTATCCCTGGATAGGGGAACCCTAGCTAGGTAGGTCCTTTAAGAGCAGCTCCAGAAGAGGTAGCTAGTGCCTTTCGATCAGGAATGCTCCTCTGTGGCGCGACCACCCGCGAAGGCCCTCCAACCCAGCGCGACTGGGACCCGGGCAGACAGCCACGGTCGGGTGGGCGCGAGAGGTCGACCATGGGTGGCTGGTTCGCAAACACTGGGTGCCCACCACGCCTCTTTTCCTAGAGCAGACACCGCGTTGCCTCGCTTGCTCTTAACCTACTGGGGCAAGGCAGCTCTGCCAAGAAGCTTTAAATCCGTTAAAAATCCAAAATGAGCTGCCAGGACGCGCCCGACTTCGCAGAATCACGGTTTTAAGGGGCGGGGAGGGGGGGTGGTGGTGGGACGGAAACAGAGGCCAGACCTCCGAAAGAATGGGTTTCGCGCAGCTTTGTTGATTTTAGCCCTGCTGGCAGGCCGGGAAAGGCACCTGAGCTTTGTTTGCGGACTGCTGGGGCTGCGCGCTCGGGGCTCGGGGGCGCCTCGGCCTGCGGGCAGGGCCTGGCTGGGCAGGGCGGGGTGGCCGGCGGCTCCGCCCCTGCTCGCCGCGGGGCCCCGGCTCGGTGCGGTGGAGGCACAGCGCCCCCTGCGGGCACCGGCGCGGGCTCCGGGGTGCCGGGATACTCGGGGGGCTCGGGGGGCTCTGACAGGCCTGTAGGGTTCAAGGCCAAAGGAACGCGATGCAGCCCAGGTGCACATCGCCAGCTCTGCGAGGAGGGCCTCCTTCCAGAGCGGGCGTCTGGTCCTGTCCGTTAGCTCCTTCCCCACCTCGCCTCCCCCAAAGCCCGAGTGAGGCGACCCTGGAAGTGTTCCCCTTTTGCTTTCCACGTCTCAGCCCAAAGGAGCATTTATGGAAGGATCAGAGGCACTGTTGTGCCTGCAGGGTTCCCTACACAGTGCTGCTCCATCTCTCCAGTGATGGGGCTCCTTGTGGGAGTCCAAGGCCGCCATCCCCCCCTTCAAGGAGCGGGGAGGGGTCTCCCAGAACCGGGGAAGGTCAAGGCGGAGGATGGGGGTCGGGGGTCCCCCGGGGGTGGCGGGGGTCCACTCGTGGGGGCGGGAACGCTTCAGTGACGCGCTTTCTGTGCCTCGCAGGAGAACGGCCACGTGAAGGTAAATGGCGACGCCTCACCCGCGGCCGCCGAGCCCGGCGCCAAGGAGGAGCTGCAGGCCAACGGCAGCGCGCCGGCCGCCGACAAGGAGGAGCCCGCGGCCGCGGGGAGCGGGGCCGCGTCCCCCAGCGCGGCCGAGAAGGACGAGCAGGCCGCCGCCGCCCCCGAGGCCGCGGCCGGCAGCCCCGCGGAGAAGGAGACCCCCGCGGAGGCCGAGGCGGCCGAGCCGGGCTCGCCCACGGCCGCGGAGGGCGAGGCCGCGTCGGCCGCCTCCTCGACGTCTTCGCCCAAGGCCGAGGACGGCGCCACGCCCTCGCCCAGCAACGAGACCCCGAAAAAAAAAAAGAAGCGCTTTTCCTTCAAGAAGTCTTTCAAGCTGAGCGGCTTCTCCTTCAAGAAGAACAAGAAGGAAGCCGGAGAGGGCGCTGAGGCCGAAGCCGCGGCCTCCGCCGAGGGCGGCAGCAAGGACGAGGCCGCAGCCGCCGCCGCCGGGGGCGTCTCCGCGGCCGCCGGGGAAGCGAGCGCCGCGTCCGGGGAGCAGGCGGCGGGCGCGCCGGCCGAGGAGGCGGCGGCTGGCGACGAGGGGGCGGCGGGCGGAGAGCCGCAGGAGCCCAAGGCCGAGGAGGCCGCCGCAGCCGCCGCCGGGGCGCCCGACAAGCCGTCCAGCAGCGAGGAGCCCAAGGCCGCCCCGGAGCCCAGCAAGGCCGAGGAGAAGGCCGAGGAGGCGGCCGCCTGCGAGGCGCCCTCCGCCGCCGCCGGGCCGGGCGCGCCCCCGGAGCCGGAGCCCGCGGCCCCCGCCGAGGAGCCCGCGTCCGCCTGCGCAGCCCCCTCACAGGAGGCGCAGCCCGAGTGCAGTCCAGAAGCCCCCCCGGCGGAGGCGGCCGAGTAAAGGAGCGAGCGTTTTTTTTTTTTTTTTTGAGATAATCCAAGAACTTTTCTCCCTCACCCCCCGTTTGTTTGTTGGAGTGGTGCCAGGTACTGGTTTTGGAGAACTTGTCTACAACCAGGGATTGATTTTAAAGATGTCTCTCTTTTTTTTTTTTTTTAATTTTCTTTTTTTTTTTTTAAGCAGCAAATTTTCCCTTCCCCCCCTCCCCACAGATCCCATCTCAGATCATTCTGTTACCACCATTCCAACAGGTGGAGGAGAGCTTAAACACCTTCTTCCGCCTTGTTTCTCTCTCTCTTTTTTTTATTACTTTTTTTTTGCATCAGTATTAATGTTTTTTGCATACTTTGCATCTTTATTCAAAAATGTAAACTTTTCTTTGTCAGTCTATGGACATGCCCATATATGAAGGAGATGGGTGGGTCAAAAGGGATAGCAAATGAAGTGAGAAGGGCCACAGTGGGGAAGTCAAAGTGGTGCAGAGCCTTGCCAAGATGTGCCACTATCAATGATGGTGTAAAGGCTTCGTCTTCTGTTTCGTTTTTTTTTTTTTTTAAGAAAAGTTATTATGATGTATTTTGTGAGGCAGGTTTACAACACTACAAGTCTTGACTAAGAAGGAAAGAAAAAAAAAAAAAACAAACACCAATACCCAGATCTAAAACAAAAAAAGAAAAAAAAAGATCATAGTCTTAGGAGTTCATTTAAACCATAGGAACTTTTCACTTATCTCATGTTAGCTGTACCAGTCGGTGATTAAGTAGGACTACAAGTTGTATAGGCTTTATTGTTTATTGCTGGTTTATGACCTTAATAAAGTGTAATTATGTATTACCAGCAGGGTGATTTTAACTGTGACTATTGTATAAAAACAAATCTTGATATCCAGAAGCACATGAAGTTTGCAACTTTCCACCCTGCCCATTTTTGTAAAACTTAAAAAAAGTCATCTTGGACCTTTTAAACACAAATTTTAAACTCAACCAAGCTGTGATAAGTGGAATGGTTACTGTTTATACTGTGGTATGTTTTTTGATTACAGCAGACAATGCTTTCTTTTCCAGTCGTCTTTGAGAATAAAGGAGAAAAAAATCTTCAGATGCAATGGCTTTGTGTAGCATCTTGTCTATCATGTTTTGTAAATACTGGAGAAGCTTTGACCAATTTGACTTAGAGATGGAATGTAACTTTGCTTACAAAAATTGCTATTAAACTCCTGCTTAAGGTGTTCTAATTTTCTGTGAGCACACTAAAAGCGAAAAATAAATGTGAAGAAAATGTACACATTCGTGGTGTTTCTTTACGTTCTGATAACACTGAGACTTCTAGGTCTTAGATTAATTTTTAGCAAGTGCTTGCATGCCATCAAGAGTAAATTCAGTTATTTTAAATCTGAAATTTTTAACCTCTGAAATTCTAAATCAGTGTCAGGTAGCAACATTCCATGTCAAATCTGTAAACCATTTATTTGCATTTAGTTTTCATGTAAGAATTGAATATAATTATTTTATTGTAGCTATATAGCATGTCAGATTAAATCATTTAGGATGAACGTGGTGTGACTCTAAGACTATTTACATGTCTTGTGAGAAAATCTCATTAAAATCATTTTCTTGTCATGCAGATCTAGAAACTTAAATTTTATACTGAATGAGTCTGTTGCATCCAAACTACAGAAGGCTCATCAAAGGTGATCAGAGATGTTTCAGAAATTGATGATGTATTACATTGTAATTGCTTAGCACTTCCAAAGTATTGCTTAGAATATGTGTTATACCTTTAAAACAACAGAGCTATGTAACGAAACATTGGTGTTGAATGGACAGTGTTGTCAGCTTATGGGCCTTTCGCGTAAAGTGCAAGCAAGTTTTTTTTTTCTTTATTTTTTAATTAAATCTCATTAACATCTTATCGCCTAAAGGAAAAAATAGTTAATAATAAATATTTCCTTATACATTAATTACCCTTAATCTTTTACCTCCTCTCTTTTTTAGCACCCTATAACAGAATATTTTTGTTCTCCATTGAACCCTAAACAGAATTGGATTTTAAGATATGTATTAAATACTGTTACTTCATTAGATGTAAAATCATGTATGCACACCCATTTTGCTGCTTTTGAACAGTGAGCGATATAGCGGCTCATGATTAACCAGTGAACTCCATTTGTAACAACTGAGTACCAAAAATCTTAAACTCATTAGAAAAATGACAAGTTAGCTTCTTGGTATGTTCTTATGTTTGCAATTATGATCAAAATTAATAGTTCATGATTTCTCTTTACCAAATACCTTCGCCACTAGTTTAATAACATTTGGAAGAGTGTTCATTTTGACTTAGGTTTTCTAGATCTTAAAGGATGTTTGAAGATTAAAAATCAAACTTAGTTACCAAAGGACTGATTTATGGGTCTTTCCCATCTTAACCAACTTTTTCTCAAATGCCCAGTTGGCCGAGTACAGTGCCTAGTTGTAGTAGATCTCAGCTAAAAAGAAAAAAGGATTTAAAAAATAACTCCCAAAGTGAGTAGTCGACCATACTGTGTAGGAAATTATTATATATTGCTAGGTTTGTTCTTTTGACAACTAGAGTTTATTACGATGCATTGTTTTTATTTTAATCACTGCCTAAAAACACTTTGGGTGGTATTAATGGAGTGGTGGATTTTCTCCAAGTAATTAAATGAAATTTGACATATCTTTTCATCCAAAGTTTTGTACATCATGTTTTCTAATGGAAAAATGTTAATATGGCTTTTTTGTATGACTAAAAATAGCTTTGAGATTAAGGAAAAATAAATAACTCTTGTACAGTTCAGTATTGTCTATTAAATCTGTATTGGCAGTATGTATAATGGCATTTGCTATGGTTACAAAACACTTCCTCTGGATTATAATAATCATTTGATCCAATTCTTAATGCTTGTAAAATAAAGTCTTATCAGTTGATATAATCAAGCCTGCTAAGATAGGATTTTTTACAAATTTTATTTTAAAATACAAATTTTAGGAAAATAATTTAAATCTTATGTGTGAAAGGTAAGCGTGACTATTATTTGCTTAAGGGGTTTTAGAGGGATGTGCGTGAGATTACACTTACACTGTAAAATCACAGCCATCAAGGAGGAGTTACAGGCTCAAGTAAAAAAGCTTAATGATAAAATTTGATAATATATTTGAGAAACAATGCAATTTGTCCCTTTCACTTCCCAATTACATAAAATATGTTGTAGCCAAGGTTAATTTTTAGATGCTTTTCATTTGCAAATGCTGTGCTTTTAAGAGTTCAAGCACTCCTTTTAAGTTATATGCAAGAATCCTAGTCTGAAAATGGAAGCTATTTTAAGCATTTAACTGTGAATTCCAGCAATTTTGCTTTGGAGTTTTCTGCATGATTTACCTATCTTAAGAGTATTACATAGCTACACTTCGGTATGATTGTGTAAAATGGATGGAATTATCTTTTTTCTATTTTGCTTTCTTCCTGCTAGTGTTCTAATCATTAGTGAACTATGAAAAAAAGAAAGCAATCTCACCATTACATATTTGTACAAATGGTTTTTAAATTGTAAGTAGGTCAGGGTGAAGCACAACTTTTTATCCAGATTAAAAAAAAAAAAGACTTATTTTATTGTTTTTATTGGAAAGTCAGATATACAGAGAGGAGGAGAGACAGAGAGGAAGATCTTCTGTTCAATTATTCACTTGCCAAGTGGCCACAATGGCTGGAGCTGAGCCAACCCGAAGCCAGGAGCCTCTTCAGGGTCTCCTACATGAGTGCAGGATCCCAACACTTTGAGCTGTACTCTACTGCCTTCCCAGGCCAAAAGCAGGGAGCTGGATGGGAAGTGGAACTGCTGGAATCAGAACCAATGTCCATATGGGATCCTGGCGCATATGAGGCAAGGACTTTAGCCACTAGGCTACCACGCCAGGCCCTTTGTCTAGATTTAATTCATCCACAGAGGTACTTACTGATATTCCCCTTTCAAAGGTGCACATGGAAAATGTGTTCTAACAGTTCTATCTCCTGCCTGATATACGGAGAGATAACTACTTAACCAGGGCTACACCTTTCCTCTTTGCAATTTGATACATAGATGTCTTTTATTCTTTTTAAAAAGTGAATTCATAATACTCAGTAGACATTATCAAAAATGAAAATAAAACATTTTTTAATTTATAGAGACTTGAAATTTAATATTCAGAAATAGCACCTTAATAGTGGCACACAAAAACTTTTTTTATTATTTTTTTTTATTATTATTTTTTCATTGGAAAGGCGGATATACAGAGAGGAGAGACAGAGAGGAAGATCTTCACTCTGATGATTCACTCCCCAAGTGAGCACAACGGGCCGATACTATGCCGATCCAAAGCCAGGAGCCTCTTCCGGGTCTCCCACGCGGGTGCAGGGTCCCAAAGCTTTGGGCCGTCCTCGACTGCTTTCCCAGGCCACAGGCAGGGAGCTGGAAGGGAAGCGGGGCTGCCGGGATAGAACCGGCGCCCATATGGGAACCCGGGCTACAAGGCGAGGACCTTAACCACTTGCGCTACCGCGCCGGGCCCCAAAAACTTTTTTTAAAGATTTATTTTATTTTTATTGCAGTCAGATATACAGAGAGGAAGAAAGACAGAGAGGAAGATCCGTCTGATGATTCACTCCCAAAGTGATCACAAAGGCCGGTGCTGCGCCGATCTGAAGCCAGGAGCCTCTTCCAGGTCTCCCACACGGGTGAAGGGTCCCAAGGCTTTGTGCTGTACTCTACTGCCTTTCCAAGCCACAGTCAGAGAGCTGGATGGGAAGTGGAGCTGCTGGGATTAGAACCGGCGCCCATAAGGGATCCTGGTGCGTTCAAGGCCAGGACTTGAGCCGCTAGGCCACCACGCCTAGAGGCCACAAAATTTTTTTTGAATTATGTATTCTCACTCCTTTCCAGAAAGTTGATCATTAAGTATTAAAATTTGAGCACTGTATAAAAATATACTGTTTCTGTCCTTAACAGAATTTAAACGAAGTTAGACAGCTAAATGTATGGTGTGCCCTTGAAACAAGGGCAAAGAATTGGAGCCTTTTCTATGAAACAATGTAAGTCATAAGGCTGGGACAGCTAAATTGAAGCTTGCTTGACTCAGGCTCAGTAATGATGGGCAGTGCTTGAGCACAGTCCGGTGAGAAGCAAGACATTCAGGCTGTCCGTTCTACAGTATTTTGCTGTCTGTGTGAATAGGGAAGACAGTCAGTGACTAGGTGGCAGAATCATCATCAAAGTTCTCTTCCCATCTGCATTCTCTCAGCCTTCTTTTAACTTAGCCCTTGGTCACAACCCAGCTTCAAAGAGAAGCGGAACATCTGAGAATCCAGAGTGGAAACTTCAAGTACTGTTTCAGGAATTGTTTGGGAGAATACGTAGACTGAAAAATTATTCTGAGATTCTGTGTCCAGTTTAATAACAGAAAAGTTTAAAGGAATCCAAATTAAAGCAATACGAATGCCATTTAATAACATAGCATCTTGTAAAAACCGAACCTTCCAAAGGCATACACACCCCACTTCAGTATCTTAAAAATCTTTTAAAAATAGTGTATTTTTAGTTATTTGATTTGTCAGCAATTTGTAGAAGTACTTTGATGATCTTAGAGACAATGATAAAAGAATGCAGACCATGGACTAAGGTAAAAGGCTTTTAATCGTGCAGGTTTTGCACCATTATCGTCTTGACATAAATTCACTTTATGCTTTTCACATCTCCCTAATTAAACCCACATGGATTAAGAGCAAACAAAGGAGGCCCGGCGGCGTGGCCTAGCAGCTAAAATCCTCGCCTTGAACATGCCAGGATCCCATATGGGCGCTAGTTCTAATCCCGGCAGCTCCACTTCCCATCCAGCTCCCTGCTTGTGGCCTGGGAAGGCAGTAGAGGACAACCAGAAGCCTTGGGACCCTTCACCCGTGTGGGATATCCGGAAGAAGTTCCTAGATCCTGACTTCGGATCGGCATAGCATCGGCTGTTGCGCTCACTTGGGAAGTGAGTCATCGGACGGAAGATATTCCTCTCTGTCTCTCCTCCTCTCTGTATATCTGCCTTTCCAATAAATAAATAAATCTTAAAAAAAAAAAAAAAGAACAAAGGATCATATTTTACATTCCAGAAAAGGTAAAAAGTTACTGATTATGAAATATTATCTACAGCTCTTCTTACTATTACCTTTTGAACAAAATAAATGCTTATTCCCATCCTAAGATTTAGCAGCAGTAAATATATAATTGTTGCAAAATTCTAGGAATCTTTATACCAGTTCTGTTTTGAAACAATTAAAAGAGCTTTATTAGTACTGTATCTAATTAAACATGGGAAAATACAGTGCTATAGGCAAATGAAAAATGTTAAAAGTAATACTTTTGTCAATCACTGTTATAGACTGAGAATTGTTCATCTGAAAATAAAAAATCAGATACAGCCCCCCAATCCAAAGCTATTTGAACATGACGTGACACCACAAGTGAAGAATTTCACATTTGATCTCATATGATTTGACCTAGTTGAAGTAGTGCCATACAAAATAATAATAATAATAATAATAATAATGTAAAATTACCTTCAAACTATGTTTATTAGGTGTCTATGAAACACCAATGGTTTTGGCATTTAGTTTTGGGCCCCATTACCAGTGTATTTAACTATATGTGTGCAAATATTCTTAAGTCTGAAAATAGCTATAATCTTTTTTTATTTTTTTTTTATTTTGGAAAGGCGGATGTACAGAGAGGAGAGACAGAGAGGAAGATCTTCCGTCAGATGATTCACTCCCCAAGTGAGCGCAATGGCCGATACTATGCCCATCCAAAGCCAAGAGCCTCCTCCGGGTCTCCCACGCGGGTGCAGGGTCCCAAAGCTTTGAGCTGTCCTGCTTTCCCAGGCCACAGCAGGGAGCTGGAAGGGAAGCGGGGCTGCAGGGGTAGAACCGGCGCCCATATGGGATCCCTGGCGTGCAAGGCGAGGACCTTAACCACTTGCGCCACCGCACCAGACCCAAATAGCTATAATCTTAAAACATTTATGGTGGAAGCATTTTGGCTAAGGGATACTCGGCCTGTTGTAGAACTTCTTTCTTCAATAAATGGTGAAAATTAACAGGATTATCCATTACTGAGGATTTCAATAAAAACACCAGCATCAGTCATATGCTTGAGTTAACATTATGCATTGTTTTTCTGGCAACTAGGGGAAAGTTTCTGGTAGGACTAAATATAGGGCTAGAATGTCCACCTGTGTAATTAATGATGGTGAAACAACAAAAGGAATTTTTAGGAACAGTTACAAAATGAGAAGTCTAAAAAGGTCTTCAAAGCCGCCTTAGATCAAATAATATGTGCTTGAGTCTTCAAGATTCACTGTACAATAGATACATACAGTGAATCACATAAGTGTTTTTAAAGTATTTGGTAAATATTTTTAAAAGGTAAGAGGTGGGGTCAATGTGATGTAGCAGGTAAAACTATTGCCTACCACGCCAGCATGCCACTTGAGTCCTGCATACTCCACTTGTAATCCAGTCCAATCCATCTCCCTGTTAATGAGCCTGGAAAAACAGCAGAAGATGGCTCAAGTACATAGGCTCCTGTGCGTGCTCAGAAGCTCCTGGCTTCGGCCTGCCCCAGCTCTGGCCCCTGTTGAGTGAACGAGTAGGTAGTAGATGTCTCTGTCTTTTCTCTCTCTCTCCCTCTGTAACTCTGCTTTTTAAATAAATAAACATCTTTTAAAAATAAAAGTTAAGAATGGATAGGTGGAATTAACTAATCATGTATCTAATTCAGTATATCTCAAATAGCATTGCAACAAGTAATCAATATAAAATGACCGATGAGATCACATATTCTTCTTTTGTTACTTATCTTAAAAAGCCTACTGAGTCCTATAGTCATCATACAACTCAGTTTGGGTCAGTCAC